ATTTTCTTTGAGAATATTTTTTAAAAAGATACTGAGACCTGCAGCTTTGCTGTCTGAATTTATTTCAGGCCCTGCTGGGGGGTTTTAGGAGAGGATGATTGATTACTGTTAGTTCTAGGTGACTGAAAACTTGTCAGGCTTTACATAAAATGTGTTGTCTTTTGACTGCTATTTTGTGTTCTAACTTGTGGGTAGGGTAAGCATTTATTATACTCAAGTAATTTAAAAGCATCATTCACTAATCCCTCCATTATCGCTAAATAAAATGACAAGAGTGATGAACAACAGAAGGAAGAAAGGGCTACCACTATGAAATCAAGTGGCTTAAAATTCAAGTCTGTTAACACAAGTGGAGGAACCAAAAATTGTTTGATATAAGAAATAATATTTTCCTGATAAAACAAATAAATTACTTGAAAATGTGACAGATAACAGTTTCATGTTATCAAAAATTCTTTTAAAAATCCATGTATATATATGACAAGAAATTTTTTATATTTGTGCGCATGAAATACACAAAATATGCTTGTAAAGGGTAATAAAGCAAATGGAAAGATATATCTAACTATGTATGAGAAAACAATCATGCATTTACCAACTCTCCTCAAAGTAAGTCAGTAAGCTCAATACATTGCTGAAAAAAATTAAAAATTAATAAAGGAATAAATTTTACATAATTTTTCCATCAGAAGTTACTCTTTGATCATACTAGTTCTTTCAAGCCAGCATATATTACTCCTCTTGAGCCTTTATTAATGAAAACTCAGAGCATTTTTTAATGGGAACATTGAAGTCAAGAGAACAGAACATTGATCATATATTATAGAAACAGAAAGACATGGTTTAACTCCCCCCATCTACTATGATTCTCTTAGGTCATTCATTCTCTACTGTTCTGTGAACACCCTAAACGCACTTCTGCCTTAAGGCCTTTGTTTTTACTGTTTCCTGAAATACTTTTCACAGATGTGGACATAAGTCATCCTCTCACTTTCTTTTAACTCTACTCTAATGTTGCATTAGAGAAAATTTCTCTGACTGTACTATTTAAAACAACTTCCCTCTCACCTCACTATCAATCTCCTTACTCTGCTTTATTTTTCTTCTTATCTCCAACAAGAGTAAACTCCATGAAAGCAGGGACTTAGTGTGTCTTATTTATTGCTGTAATCCCAGAGCCTAGATTATATCTGACATTTATCTGGCAATTTATAAATACTTGCTGAATGAAAGAAAGGCATTTAAAGACAACTCTTGGTGCCTTGTTTGAAGAAGACTAATGATAAAATATCCTGTGCCCATAGGAAAGCCACCAAGGTCTAGACACCTTTCAGTTTAGTGATTATATTTGTTCAGTGTGCATCCAGAAGAAAAAGGAAAAACTACTTGGTTATAGGAAGGCAGGTTTGAATGAAGTAAGAAAGAAATTGGTAATAATTGCAGCTATCTGAAAACTGTTTGATGTATCTTCTGTGAATGTTTATAGAGGTTATATGACCACTTTGGGAATAACTGTAGTTGAAATCTAAGCATCTTGTGCAAAATAGATTATATCACCTCTAACATCTGTTCTTGAAAGATGTGATTCTTTATTGGCTCAAGAACTGAGAATTGAATTTGTTCTTCTACAGAATGCTACCAGACAAATAAACATATTAACACCCTAAGCTAGGGTCTGGCAAGCTATACTGCCCAGGTCAAATCTAGCCAGTGACACCTTTTTGTAAATATTTTTATTGGAACACAGATGTGATCACTCATTTATATATTAAACCTTATGCTGTTACTGTAGTGTTAGAGAATATCCAGAGGGTGCTCCCATTTAGATGAAGGAGGAGTCTTTGCATTCTGAAATTTTTACTTATCAACCCTTATCTATTTACTTTTCATAAAATGAGATTATTAATTATTAATTATGACAACCTTGTAAGAGTGTGGAGAGGGATTAAATAGATAATACATCTAAAAATCTCCAAACTGTGTGTCACAGAGTAGGGACTTAGTAAGTACTAGCTACATGTTATTGTTAATATTTTAATTGTGCTGACCCTAGGAGAGGTTATCACAGGAAAAGAGTGAATCAGAAGCTTTATAAAATGTTATTCAGGTGCTTCGTTAAACATTATTCTTTCATTGGACCTTTTACTTTTCTTTAGGAGAAAATAATGAGAAACAGAAATTTGTGTTTTGTTTGCGTTTAGTGAGTGGCCCTCATGTTGCCTTCATTTGTTAATTCAGAGCTTTGTTACATATCAGTGTTTATTTATGAAATGTTGTTCTCTGTTATGCTTATGTACAGTTCCTCTCTCTCATCTAGAAAGGACTTCTTCCAATCATTCTTAACCTATGATCTTCTTCCCATTCTCATAGCTTTTCTTGGTTTCCTTCTTAGTAGTCCTCTCACTCTCTCCAAAATCCTTTTTCTGTCTTAACTTACTCCATTACTGTAGTACTTTTGGTACATACAATTTTCTTTCTCAGCCAATATTTCCCTAACTAATCACATGACACATTGATCTTTTACCAATATACAGCACCAATAGACAGTCTGTAAGATTTTTTATATACTATTTATATTGTCTGAAATAGTTACGTGGTTTCTCTGCTTATACTTTGTTTCTTCAACTAGTTTGAAAGCCATGTTCAGATGAACTGTTAGGTGGTTGGTCCTTTATTAATATGTAAGGCTTATGTCAAAACTTTTATCTAATTATTCAGATCACCCATTTTTTGACATTGCTATTTGCTTTAAAAGTAGTTTTCCTTCATGGTAAAGCCACTGATAACTTTAGTTCTTATGTTAGATTCCCTGAAAATAGCTAAAAAAGAAAAGGATGCCTTTGATCCATATTATTCCAAAAGTCCAAATACCAGTAGAAGAAGAAACAAATGATCCTGCAGGAATATCCTTCCAGCATGATACACTACATAGCTTATGGCAAATACTTATTTTTCATTTTTGTTAAAGGCAAACAGGAAAGGTAATTTGACAAAAAGTTTCATTAGGCTTGGAATTAGGAGTGTTTTTTTGGTTTTGTTTTTGTTTTTGCAGTACTGGGGCTTGAACTCAGGGCTTCATCCTTACTAGGCTTGCTAGGCAGGTGCTCTATTACTTGAGCCACTCCACCGGCCCACTTTTGTATTAGGTTTTTTTGAGATAGGATCTTACAAATTATTTGTCTCATGCTTGTTTGAACCACAATCCTCCCGATCTTTGCCTCCTGAGTAGCTAGGATTACAAGCATGAGCCACTAGTGACTGGCAGAGTGTCATATTTTAATGTGCTGAACCTATTTTAAAATCCAGGGCTCTAAAGAGAATATAGGCCTGCTACCAATATTTTTTAAGTCTGAGACTTTGGACTTGGTATGGTAAATTTTTGAACCACACTATATATGAAATATAGAGATGACCATACAGATCTTTTAAACATTAAGGTGTATTATTATTGAACATGTTTCATAGTGACCATTTACAATTACTGGTCTCAGAAAAGTATATAAATCAAATGCAGAGATCTAAGGGAGGGTACTAAAAAAAGTCCTCAAGAAGAATTCTGAGGATGCCTATTACATACTTGTTATTTATTTATAATTAATAATTTTAGCTGGGGGCAGGAGGCGTGGTTCGAATGGTGAAGTGCATGCCTAGCAAACATGAAGCCTTGAGTTTAAACTCCAATTCTGCCCCCCACCATAAAAAAAAGTTTTAGACAGACACTGTGGCTTCTGCCTGTAATCCTGGCTACTCAGGAGATGGAGATTGGGAGGATTGCATTTCAAAGCCAGCCTGCGTGAAAAAAAAACTTGTGAGACCTCATCTCAACCAATAAAATCCTGGGTGTGGTGGTGCATGCCTATCACCCCACCTTCACAAGAAATGTAAATAGGAAGATTGTGGTCCAGGCTAACTTGGGCATAAATTCAAGACCCTATTCAAAAATAACAAAAGTAAAAATGTCTGAGGGTGTAGCTCAAATGATAGCGCACCTGCCTAGCAAGCACAAGGCCCTAACTTCAAACTCTAGTACTGCACCCCCCCACCAAGAAAATAATTTTACCCAATGACATATTCTATTCCATATTTAAGGGGAACTTTTTTCTCAGTGTTTCAAAATCATTACTGCTTTTTAAGTGTTGCAACTGCAGAACTTTAAAGATAAATTAAGTCATGTTGCTCAAACACAATGAGATACTATACTTTTAATTCCTGTGTATTTAGAAGTTGAAGTCAGGATAACCTTGTATTTGGAATTTAACAAGATTTTTCTCAAAATATTTCAGGTAGAAGAAGTATTCTGAGATGTTATAAGCCCATAATTGTCTCTTCACCTTCTCAATATCCTTCTCTACCCCCTGAAAACATGTACCTGTTTTGTACATACTGTTATATTTTCTATGATGTTAATTGATGAAATGTAAATCTTCTTAAGTCCAAATTCCTTGAATTTGAAGGTGCTTAGACTTGACCTAGCATTTTCCCCAGTTCATTTCACATTTAAAACATGGCTTTTGTCAATAAACAGTTAAGGTAGTAGGGGTCCAAACCACAATTTATAGTGCTGAATGTCAATTACAATTGTGCCTCTTCCTTCATTCCTTAAAATAAAGGTCTGTGAGTAGCTGTGGTGCCTGGGCCTCAAATATTGTTACCAAAAAGGGTTTTGTGTTTTAGTTTTCGTGTGTGCATATAAGGAAATGCTGGACAGATTGATTACAAAGTGGACCAGGACATGTATCCAAGTGTAAAGTTATATGGAAACTTTCTAACACTTAACTTTGTTTAAATAACTTTAGTTATTTGTTCTATAGATGATATATAATGACACTTCAATCTGAATACTTAATGTAAAATGGTAAAGCAAATCCCACAATTATAATCAGAGAATAAGTTAGTGAGCTAATACAATGGAGTTTAGGCAATTTTAATTTTAGGGACATTGTCCCTTGGTTTTGGTATTTTACAACAATGGTACCATTTATGATTTTATTTTATTTTAGCCATGCCCTTTGGGTTCCCGAGATTTTCGAGAAAAACAGTGTGCAGACTTTGACAATATGCCTTTCCGAGGAAAGTATTATAACTGGAAACCCTATACTGGAGGTAATGTATAACCTAGCAGAGCATTCACGCTTGAGAGCTTTGCAAATATAAAAGAGTTTATAAGTACATACACACACATATATTCATACATATACTCATTAACATTAGTGATTGCAAATCAGAACAGGAAAGTGCTTGTGCTGTTTTAAAGGTCTCATATTTTAGTTTCCCTGTGATAAAAAGTCCGTAGGTTAACATAGATTATCAGAAATTATAATTTAAAATCTTAATTATATTTAGCAAGGTACAAAATTCCTAAAAGGATATGCATATCAAAATCATATAATATTTGTGAGTTCTGCTTGAGACTTTTTTGGGGAAAGTGTAAATTAAATTCTAATCATTGGCTATATCCAGTTATTTTATCATTACAATAAAGTGTATTGATGTAAATCAACTCAAAAGAGAAAAGAAAAATCAGAGTCTTTGTTGAAGGCTAAGGATCTCTCCACAGTCAGAGTTAGAAAATACTTTTACTCTTCTTTAATAGGGCATGTATCAAACACTACTCAGTAAGCAAGAAGGGTTTTTCACTCTCATTATGAACTAAACTTTGTTGAAATTTTCTTTTGGAAAAATTGAATGTACTTAAAAAAACTTCTACTGTTTGTATTTCTAGTATCTAACTTTAAAAATTATCCAACATAGAGCAATGTTAAAGAATTTTACAATGACAATTGTATATCCATCACTAATATTTTGCCATTAGTATTTTATTATGTTTTGTACATGTTTGTTCCTCTCTACCCATTTATGAATCTGTCCTATTTTTTATGTATTTCAGAGTAAATTCTAGTCATTTTCCTTTCAATACTTCAGCATGTATGCGATCAACCCTAATTAATTTTTTTTCTTTTGAGGTAAGAGTATGTACAATGAAATGTACAAATCTTACCTATACTCTCCCTAAATTTTGACAAATGTATATACCTGTAAAGTCCTATTAACAGAACATTACCTGCAAAATGATCATAGTTCTTATCAGTTTGTACTCCTATAACCAATTGTAGATTGAGGACTTTAAAGAGGAGAAATTTATTTCTCACAGTTTTGGAGGCTGGAAGTCCAAAATTAGGCTGCCAGAGTGCTTGAATCCTGGTAAGGGTCTTTTTCTGGAGTGCAGACTAAGATCTCAGTGATGGCAGAAAAGGGGGAGGGGGTACTGTAGAGTCCCTGTGTTGGCACTAATACCATTACTAAGGGCTCATGACCTAATTACCTCCAAAGGCCCTGCCTTCTAAAACCATCACACTGGGGGCTAGGATTTCACCATATGAGTTTTGAGGGGACACAAATATTCGTTCCAAAACAGTCCTTATCATTCTTTGTAGTCAGTAACTGCCTCTGCCAACTCCTGAAGGCAACCATTATTATGACTTTTTTTTCTCAATGTAGTTTCAATGTGTATGCCTGTCTAAGAACTTCATATAAATTATATTATGCCATAGTTACTCTTGTGTAAGACTTCTTTAAGCCTAATGTTTTTTAGATCTGTTCACATTGTTGTATGTACAGGTAGTTCATCCCTTTTTATTGCTGAGCAGTATTCCATTGTAGTAACCACTTTTTCCATTTTGCTGTTGATAAACACCTGGATTGTTTTCAGATGTTGGTTATCATGGACGAATAAGCTGCTGTGAACATTTTGTTCCAGTCTTTTTGTGAGCATGTGTTTCCATTTCTCTTGGGTAAATATGTAGGAGTGAAACGCTGGGCAATAGAGCAGGTGTGAGTTGAGTTTTAAAAGAAACTGCTAGATGTTTTTAAAAAGTGATTGTGCCATATCACCCTCCCATCAACAACAAACAACATTTATTCCATATCCTTACCTATCCTTACCAGTATTTGTTTTTTTTAGTCTTCCTTTGCTGGGGAAGACTGGTTTCTTAACGGAGATTTAATTTGCTGGTTCTGATGATTGATTATATTGAGCATGTTTTCATGTACTTATTTTTATAGATTATAAATTTTATATTTATGTATTTTTATATTTTAAAATATTTTATACTGTGTTCAAATCTTTTTTGCCTTTTTAGCAAAGTTTTAATTTAATAAGCTTTATTTTTAGTTGACATAAAATATTTACTTATTTATGGTTATAATGTAGAAATTTGATTCATGCATACAATATGTAATGATTAAATCAGGAAATTGGCATTTCCATCTACTCAAGTATTATCATTTCTCTGTTTGAACCTCAAAACTCTTCTCCTCTAGTTTGAAATATGTAACAAATTTTTGTAGACTATAACTATCCTGTTGTGCTATAGAATGTTGGAACTAATTTCCCCTATCTAGCTGTATTTTGGTATTTGTTACCCAACTTCTCTCTATCTTCTTTGCACCTACTGGTCCTAGCATATAGTGACTATTGTTCTTCAACGTGATCAACTTGTTTCTCTTCCACAAGTGAATGAGAACATGCAGCATTTCTTTTCTCTGCCTGACTTACTTTACTTAATATGATGTACTCTAATTCCATCAGTATTGCCACCTATGACTGTATTTCATCTTTTTTTAAAGCTGAATTATGTTCCACTGTGAAATATTCTGTGTGTGTATCACATTTTAAAAATCTATTCATCTATTGTTAGATATCTTGGTTGATTCCATATCTTGCCTATTGTGAATAGTGCCACAATAAGTATGAGTATGCAGGTAACTTTTTGATGTAAGGATTTCATTTCCTTTGGATAAATACTCAGTATTGTTGAATTCCTATCATGGTTCTATTTCTTGTGTGAAGAACCTCCATACTGTTTTCCAGAGTGGCTGTACTAATTCACATCCCAATCAACAGTTTCCTTTTCTCCAGATCATCACCAGCATTTGTCACTTACTGTCTTTTCTATGATAGCCATTCTAGTTGAGATGAGATGATATCTCAATGTGATTTTGGTGGTACTGGGACTTGAACTCAGGGCCTCATGCTTGCTAGGCAGGTGCTCTACCACTTGAATCACTCCACTAGCCCTCTCAGTGTGATTTTGACCTGTATTTCCTTGATGATTTGTAACATTGAGCCTTTTTTCATAAGCCTGTTGGCCATATATGTTTTTGACATAAATGTCCATTTTAAAATCAGATTATTTGAATTTTTTTTGCTATTGAGTTGTTGAGTTCCTTATATATTTTGAATATTAATCCTTTGTCAGATGGATAGTTTATAAATATTTCCCCCATTCTGTAGATTGTCTCTTCATTCTGTTGATTGCTTCCTTTGCTGTGCAAGGCTTTTTAGTTTAATATAATACCATTTGTCTAATTTTGCTATTGTTGCCTGTCATTTGGGGGACATACCACTGTTGTGAAGTTTTTTCTCTATATTTTCTTAGAGTTGATTCATAGTTTGATACATTTAGGTCCTTGATCCATTTTCAGTTGATTTTTATAAATGGTGAAAGATAGAGCCTAATTTAATTCCACTGTGCATGTATGTCTTATTTTCTTAGCCACATTCTTTTTTTTTGGAGACACTGTCCTTCTCTGATGTATGTTCTTAGCATAATTGTTGAAAATCAGTTGCCTATAAGTAGGTGGGCGAATTTCTTTTTCTTTCTCTTTTTTTTGGTGGTATTAGATTTTGAACTCAGGGCCTTTTTTGGTGGTATTAGATTTTGAACTCCAGGCCACTGGAACCACACCCTGGCATCACGTGGTCAGGAGGAGAGGCAGAAGCCAAGGCTAGGCATGTACTCTACCACTTAAGACCTTTTGGCCAAAATCTCCCTCTCAGCTAGCCCTTCCTAGTCATATTTCTACTTCCTGCTTTTTGTACTTCGCCTTTTTTAGATTCCATGTATAAGTGAGATCAGGCCATAGTTGTCTTTCAGTCCTTGGCTTATTTCACTTAGCATGATGTCTTCCAGGTTTATCCATTTGTCTCATATAAGAGGAATTGCTTCTTTTTGAAGATTGAATAATATGACATTGTATATGTATGTGTGCTTATGTATGCATATGTATATGCATGTGTGTGTTCAGTTTCATGTTCATATGTGTGTGTCTCACAATTTCTATATCCACTCATCTGTTTACAGATTGTATCCAAACAATTTAGATTATTCCCTTTGATGTTGAGAAATAATGCAGCAGTAAATGTGGGAATATAGTAATCTCTTTGAGATAGTGATCTTATTTCCTTTGGATATCTACCCAAAGTTGGATTGCTGTTAGTTCTGAGTTTAATTTTTTGAGGAACTTCTGAAATGTTTTCCATTATGCAGTACCCATTTACATTCTTACCAACAATGTATAAGGATTCCCTTTTCTCAAAACTGCTACCATCACTTTGTTATCTTGTGATTTTTAGCTAGTAGGTATCCTAATAGGTGTAAGATGATATCTCTTTTTGGTTTTGATTTTCTTTTCCTTGCTTATTATGGAAAGATTTCATACCTTTTGTGTACCTGTTGGCCATATGTACTTATTCCTTGGAAAAATGTCTATTCAGTCTCATTACCTATTTTTCAGTTGAGTTATTTCTTATTTTGCGGTTGAGTTGTATTTGTTCCTTAGATATTTACCCTTATTGGATATATGATTTGCAAATATTTTCTCCCATTCCAAAGGTTACCTTTTCATTTTGTTGATTGTTTTCTTTGCTGTGAAAAAACATTTCAGTTTGGTATGGTTTCATTTGTTTATTTTGGCTTTTGTTGCCTATACTGTAGGTATCATATCCAAAATGTCATTGCCAACAAAAATGTCCTGCAGATTTATCCCTCTGTTTCTTCTGATAACTTTACAACTCTGTCTTTTTTTGTATATGGTGTATGATAAGGGTCCAGTTTCATTTTTTGCATATGAATATACAGTTTTCCAAACACCGTCTATTCTTTCCTCATTGTGTTTTCTTGACACATTTGTTGAAGATTACACACACACACACACACACACACACACACACACACATGTTCATTTTTAGTGAAAGTGATAGTAAATTTTATTAGAAAAAGAATATACTTTCTATAACTGAAAGCTGGTCATCTCTAGGATAA